TATTTTCTTGAAAAAAAGATCTTCTTCGTACAATTTTATCTCATACTGGAGCTTTGTTGGAAAAAATTATAACGCAAAAAACGCAAAAACGTATACGACCAAACACCACAACATCAGATCTTGATATGTCATCATCACCATCAACGTCTGAAGAACTGTCTTCTAATATAAATAATGGTCATAATTCTTTGATCGATAAATCCTCAATTAATAGGGATGAAAGTCAAAAGAAGTCCAAAGATTCTATGAATTCAAAGTAAGTTAAAATAGATAAATTTGTAAATAATTATATATATAACATAAAATTGGAATTTTTTCTAATTTTTATTTTATTTAAATGTAAACCATTATATATTCAGAACAAAAATTAATCAACAAACAAATCAAAATAACAATGATTCTGTTCACTTGATACATAATAGAAAAGAAAGTTGCGATACTGTAACGTCAGAAACGTCAATAAGTACAAGGTCAACCACAATTTCTTCAAATGCAAATGATGACGCAGAAATTGAAGAAAAGGCCAGGTTGTTGTTGGGAAGGTTGTTTAATGAGTCAAGAAATCTCAATCATTAAATTTTTATATTTTATTTATCATTAATAGATTTTTATAATTAATATAATTTTTGTATTTAATAAAATATGTAAAATATTTATAATTTATCTAATATAAATAATGAGCCATCTTTCTAAGTTGGAAAAACCCATATTAATATCTTAAAAAAAAACGGTTGAATCCACAAAAAGTCAATTCCGAAATGATATACTGGGTCAAATTGCAACATTTCTGGTAGCTTTAAACTGTATGATAAAGATAATGATCCAAAAATAATTGCTGCTTTATAACCTGCAAAAAAATAATGATTACAAGATTCACTTATTGATGTGGTTGGCACTGGTGGTGATGGCATGAATACTTTTAATGCATCAACTACTACTTGAGCAATAGTTATTGGGTAATATTTTATTTTTTCAGCTAATCATAATTAATTATAAAAGGCGTTCAAAGATATTTTAGTATGTGCCGAACCTTTGGGAATCACAAAAATAGGATCGGCTTATCAAAATTCGTATAAAATAATAAATTTTATTTGCGAGATTTGGGCGATTGATCGTGTGGAATTTTATCATTATAAGACGAATTTTAAAACCAGTTTATAGTCATCAACTGGTTTTCACAAATATTCAGCTTAGAAAGTTGCATTTTTATTATGTTGTATCAAACGTTAGGTTCGGCTATAATTAATAAAATTCGGCTTAATGAAATAATTTTTATTAAACACAATTTGGTTAATCAATTTTGGATCATTATTAAAGCGAAAATCGGTTTATAGTATATAGTTCGGTTTATCGAGGTTTGACTGTATATGGGGGCTGTTCTAGGAAAAAGTGGGTTTCTTCAGATTTTTTGTTTTGAGATATTCATAAAAACAAAAAGCACCCCATTTTTGTTGATCATCCGATCTGTACTACAATTAAAAATGTCTG